AGGGAATTATAAGTGAGGGGGCAAAAGATCTAAATTTTTCTAACGGGCTCATAGTTGCGGTGGATACAGTGAAGGCCAAACTGTTTTATGCAATAAGTGAAGTTAGGAAAGTATGGTGATGTGTAATGGGAATTGATAAACAAGTGTCTGGTGCTGTCACTGTGTTGCTTTTGATGATCAAACGGTGCGTGACGGTTGGAAAACTCGATCCTAAACAGTTTTAGAATTTAGGAGAAGGACCTCACTTTCACTCATACAAAACAGTGCTCGTAATTTTACTCATGCAGTTCTTCAGTCTGTTTTCCCAGTAGTCAGTATCAACAGGTCAAGAGATTTCCAACAGATGGTTAAAACAAACTTCCTGTTTTTGGGTTGTTGTCTTGTACAGGTGTTGACATCTTCTTTGTAGATCGCTTACTCGATGTTCTCTCTGTTGGAGGTACAGCTTGTCCTGCGTCATTTCGCTCAGCTGAAGGTGTTTCAGTGTGACGGCGTTGATTACTTCGAAGGGTTCGAGATGACGTTGGGCGATTAATTAAATAATGAGTTGAGGTGTTGGGTCTTTTTTCTTTTTTGCTTCATAGGGTACTGCACGGGTAGCGGCCTTGCGAGTAGATAATGGGAATGACTCGGAGGTTAAAGTAGAGTGAGCTAATTGGTGAATTGTAAGTAGACTTTTAGTGTTGTGGATTTGCTTTTGATTATTTTGAAAATGTCAAGATCGTGCTCAAGCTGGTAATCAGTAATGAGCTAGGAACATCGGGTGCATTACTGGAATGATAAGAAAGAATGGGCTAGCGTCTGTTTGGGAAGAGTTGGAAGTGGAATTTCTAACAGAAGTTATTGGTTGAAAAGATGGTTATAAAAATTAAGTGGAATTGGCTCGGAATTCAAAAACTCGTCGGGTGTGTCAACTGTGGGGTTATTTGAATTGGAGTTAATGTCAAATGCAGTTTGGATTGAGTCGTCAGAGCTCAGGTGTGGTGAGTTGAATGAAAAACTGGGGCTAAAAGAAGGAAGAGGAGAAGAGTTGAGCACAAAGATGAATACAAGATATTGTTGTCGTGGAAATTGAACGAGTAGAAAAGACAACGCTTGTCGATCAAATCTCTTGGCTCATCGTGGGCTAAAAGGATGACTGTTCTAAGAACGAAAACTTAATGTGTGTGGTTGTTTTATGATTAGTTCAAATGTTTCATCCTTATTTTGTGGCTGAAATGCAAAGTGTGATCTGGAGCTTAATTTTATATCGTTATTTTGATACACGCGTTGTGCTACAGAGAATGTATATCTATTGTTTTATGAAATTTTTTGTAACGGGTGATGATTTGATAACTTGTGTAAACGTGATGCTGCAAACGTAAATGTGCTGTGAACATGTGTATATGTGATGAGAAAATTCTAAGACTCACGCGAAAATTATTTTTGCTACGCTGGCATGTCTGTTGACTTAGGTGAGTATTGTGCATGTGTTACAGGTTCCTCTACCTAGTGAGAACCGAAATCCTATAAATCATAAGCATCGCGTGAAAGATAGTCAATCATTCTAATATGTAGTGTGGTCATCCCAGAAAATAAAGGATTTCAAATTTATGCGTGAAAAGTTGAAGAAATTAATTGGTGAAATGTCTTGTGCGCGGTTATTTTCTCCATTTAGGTAACTTCAATCTTTAATGTCCGTAAAATATCCATTATAATTTTGTCTTTAAATATCGGAGAAGCCGTCTTATTCAGCAAGTTTTCGGAGAATTTATTCAAATTTTTGTCCTTAGATAGTGTCCGTTTTTGTATGTAGGTCTTGAATTGATGTGTACCGATGTGTTGTTCTATAGCCGAATTGAGTATGTTCCTACAGAATGTAAGCCTATATATGGACTATAGGCTGTAGCTCTGACGCTTTTGGTTGAAAATTTCATTAAATTGGGGTATGTGACATTAAATTGGGGTATGGTGTTAAAAGTATCATTTATTTTCGTTTGGATTAATTTGTACGACATTGTGGCTATACATGAGACAGTTGTATGAAAAAAATGATGTTCCTCGTGATAGTGTGTCTACAAAATATACTTTAGTTTCATAAAACATGGCTATCCTTTCTAGCAAGTTCTGTCTTCAAATAAATATAGTGAAGAGAAAATCTTAGTTCATGTGTAATACCAAAGGATGTTTCGTTCGTAATCAATAAAATTTGATCAATTTCCTGGTAGAAGGTATCATGCAGTGGGCTTTTTAGAACAGCTAAGGCCAGATAAGGTAATTTTTCGTTCGATCAAGTTCTCGTAAGTTGTGTAATGTTTCTAGTTCCGAGAGTGATTTTTCTTGAAAAATTCCACTTATAGTGTAGTCAAGTTTCTTGTCAAGATGAACGTCATAGTGATATGCGCCAAAATGTTTATTATTCCTAAGTGATATTTCTTGGAGTGGTGTACCAACACGATTTTATGGCAGTAGGTTTCCTGCAAGGTTTCCATTTTTCTTGTTGTAAATGTGACTGGTTTATAAGGTTTCAGGATCGAACAGAAAGAGTGTTAAATTATTTTGTACCCCTTCTATGATTTTTATGGATTTTGATTGATCGTTTTCTAGCAGGATGTAATTGATCAAAATTCACAAAAGGTAATTTATTGAATGCATGCTGTTTGATCAGTTACACCCTGATAGAAAACGATCAAATCCAAATCCATATAAAACAAACAGGGGTTAGAAAATAATTTAACAAGTTTTGAAACTTATCAGAATTTTGAAACAGAATTAGCATGTAAATATCCATAACCGCTTTTTCGTTACCAATTGATACCATAAAGATGCTTCGTACACCAAGCAAATTGAGATGTTGGTTTGAACTCTTTGAGAGGAAGAAATGTGTATCTCACAGCTTGTCCATTCTATATATTCCTAATTTTGCATTTTTTTTTGTTTTCAAAACAGTCAATATCGAAGAGAACTAGATTCATGATGTTAAATAATTTCGATGAAGATATCAATTAGAACGACTAACAATCGAACAATGCATTTTTTGTTGAAATAAAAACTTGAATATATAAACAGAAAAGCAACCCATGCACCTGACCAAGAAAACGAAAACCAGGAAGTCTAAGTATCACAAAACAAAAGACAAGTCCCTCATGCTTAGTAGACTTCACAGATCCAGCTGCATCATGTATAATGCATAACTCTGAAAATGATGGACTTTGCAAAGAAGTAGTCTATTGGGAATTTCCGTATCCAATTATGCCAGCGAAAAAAATTTTTGGTCCATTTCTTTCAAATTTATGTTCGTGTCCAAAAGAAAACAGCTACGAAGAAAGCAGTTTTTTCATTTTTTTGATGAAAAGTCATGCTTTATAAAATCAAAGTTTCTGAGATTTTTATTGACTTTCTGAACGTTCAATTTCTACAGAGCATTCGTTAATAATGATACAGGTTTCTTCGAATGTTTTTACATAACACAAAAACGAGGGGATAAAATCGACCAGTTTATCATACTCCCATTTTTTCACTGAAATTTCTGATTGTTTTCTTTTCTACGATACTCTATAAGATCTGAACAATAACTTAACAATTTTGTGTGTC